ACGCGATCGTGTCCGGGGATCCGCTCTGCGATGCTGGCGCCATCGTTGCCCCCCGGCAGCCCGGCCGCGCCCGCGCCGCCGGCCAGGCGGCCCGCGGTGCCCGCGCCGAGCGCGCGCGTGCGCCCGGCGGCGCCCAGCGCAGCGAAGGCGCGGCCCGCGGCGGCGAGCGCCGCCACGCCCAGCGCCTCACGGTCGACGAGAACAGACACGATCGCGTCGTGAAAAAAATAAGGGCGAGAGGTTTTGGCGATTTTCGGCCCCGGGGGGCCTTCGCCGGGCCAGCGACTCGGGACGAAGAATCCGGTCCCGGGGAAAAGGGTAGGGACTTCCGGGGACGCCGTCCAACAACAATCAGGACGTCGCATGCCTGGGACCACGTCCCTGAGATCCCCTGGCGCTGCACTTGGCGGCGCGCACAAGTGGGCATATTCGAAGCGCTGACATGAGGAACCCCAAATCAGGAACGAGCCCCTTTTTACCCATAAGTGCTACCTCGACTTCCCATAGAGAACCTCAGGACTACCTGAGACAAGCTGTAAGACAATTAGGGAACACCGAGCCCCTCCCCCAACGAAAACGGCTCCTTCTTCAGCGGCCCGACTGTAGGGAGGAAGGGTGGGAAGGCTTCTTGGAAGCAGGTTGCTTCTTCGAAGGCGCCCGACTTCGATCTGTAGACAAGGCCCGCGCCTTCTGAGAAGCAGGAGTGTCTCTAAGGAGCCTTCCCCCTCCCCCTGCCCCCCTCTGCGCGTGGCCGATGCTCACGCCGGGCGTTCTCGCCCTCCTTCGGGCCCCAGCAAGGTGCTCACAGCACGATCCGCGGAGGAAAGCGGGGCCCAGGGCTCCGCCCGCGATCTTCTGCGATGCCGCGCGCTTTTCGCGGCGTCGGATCTTCGGGCTTCTGCATGCGCGCCCCCGCGGCCCAGACTCTGGAGCGCGATCCCGCGGCTGCGCGGTCGCACGGCCCCAGAGATCCGACGTCGTGATTTTTTCAATACTGGGTCCCCGGCAGTCTCGACCCTGTCCCCAGGACCGGTTTATCATCCTGAGTCGTCTTTTTCCGGTCCCGCGGCCCAGCGAGGGCCCCTATAGAGGCCGAAAATTGCGAAAAACCGCCGTCTTGATTTTTTCAATGCGTTGGATCTCTGGGGTTGCGCTGCGTGCGGGGCACCCGCGCAGAGACACCACGAAGCCGCGGGGTGGCGGCCCAGGGGCCCGGCCCAGGAGGCCGTGGATATACGGCTGTGCGGTTGTCGCCCACGAGCGCCGCCGGCGCCACGAGCCTGGCGGCCCTGGTGCGGCCCATCTGCGCCTCTTCCGCACGATGCGCGCGTGCAGCGCGCTGGCCGGCCGAAGGACCCGGGGGAGGGGCGCTCTGGGAGTAGGCTTCCTCGCAATGTAGCTCGAGCCACACAGCCCCGGCAAGGCAACCCAAGTGTCCCACTCATCCGCGATTGCAGGCCGTCCGTACTTCAGCGACTGTTTGCAGGCAGCGTTCAAATCGGTACGGCAAGCAGCAAGCGACTAGAGTGGAGCAAGGACCTGACCCCTGGAACGCCGAAGATTGCCCGGAGACGGGCGGCCCAAAAGAAGGTCCTGCGATGACCCGCTCAACTCTGCCGCTGGCTTGCAGGAGCAGACCTCAGACATGCGACGTTCTGATATTTTCAGGATGGCGTCCCTGGAAATCCCGACCCTTTCCCCGGGACCGAGGGTCGGTAAGGGCCCCCAGAGGCCGAAACTAGCCAAAAACCTCCCGCCCTGAGTTTTTCACGACGCGATCATGTCTGGGAAGGGCAGCATGTTCGCCAGCGAGCTCATTACACTCGGGGGTGAGTCTGCCTGCGGCTGCCTACAATCAACCCGTACAGTAAGGATGCGCGGTAAGGATGCAAGGGCCTTGGACGCCCATGCCGAGGCTCTTCGAGCGGGGCTGGCCTTCGAAAGTGGTTGAGGATGGGCCGAATATGATCGAAGATTTGGACGCCCGAAATGGGTACGGAAAAAATGGGTACAATGCCCAACAACAAATGTTGTCCCAAACCGACAGCGGCCACTGTTGGGCTGGCGGCCTTCTGTCTCAAATGGACACAGGCCGCGGCGGCGCGGACAGCGAATCCGGTTCAAAATGAACAGGAACTGCTGTTGGGCATTGTGCCCATTCTGTCCGTACCCATCTCGTTCGTACAGAGAAGAGGCAAGGATGCGATGGCACCCTTGGGAAGTCGCTCATCCTTACTGTGCGGCTGCCTATGTAAGGGACTGGACGGGTGCGCCGAGGCATCGCCCGGTGCCTGCCCGCTGCCGGCCGCGCGCGCCTCGCGTTAGGTCGGGCCTGTCCCCTTGCAGGGGGCTTGTGGACGAAAAATGAAAAATATTCGAAAAATGCTCAAAAGATGCCCCAAAACAATCAAAAGTGAAAAAGATTCAAGACATAAAAAATGCTCAAAAGATGCCCGAACATACTGCAAGAATAGTCCCCAGCGCATGTTTCGACTATTCTGGGATAGATCCCCCCTGTAGAGGGACCAGGCCCGACATGGAAGGATATCCTCCCTGGGATACCCTTCCTCGTGGGCGCCCCCGTGCGCCCACGGGGGGGCGCTCTGCAGCGGGCAGCGGCCCTCGCCCGCCTGCCCGCCCGCGGGCGCCTCTCTCGGCCGCCCCGCGCGCGCCGGGCGGGTCCCGTCGAGGCGTCGTGCGGTGCCCGCCCGTGGCCGCCGAGGCAAACCTCCATGGCCATCAGGTCGGGCCTGTCCCCCTACAGGGGGATGTTGGACGGAACGAGTTTTTTTTTGTTTTGTTGTTTTTTGGCTTCTTGTTGTTTTGAAAACAAAAAAGGTTTTTTTTTATAGATATCTATATATATATAGAGAGAAAACATATAGAGATAGATAAACTACTAGGAAGAAACACCTAAAAATCCCCCCCCCCCCCAACAAATGCCCCAAAATATATTCAAAAATCGTCCCCAGACTATGTTTCTACTATGTTTGGATATTCCTCCTGTAGAGGGACAGGCCCGGCGTAAGCCATGCACCATGCAGCAGGGCAGGCATGCTGGCCATGAGCAGCGCGCTTGTGTGAACACATGTGCGCACACTGCAAGCGGGGAGGGCCACTGGCACAAAGAGGAAGCCGCCTCCCGTTCTCACGCAAATCTCCGCAGCCGCCCACTCCTCCCCCCTCTTCCCCTCTTGCCCGCGGGACAATTCGCAACTCCGAAGATCGGCTTTGCTCCACGCGCGAGCAGATTGCCTCTGCCGCGCCGCGATTGAACAACAACGAATGCAAAGTACAACTCAAACGCGGGGCACGTACGTGCGTACGTATGTTTGTTTGTATGTCTATATGTATATGTGTATGTCATTGAAGATGTCGATGTAGGTGTAGCTGAAGGGGTAAACGTATAGGTATATGTATATGTCTACGCAAATGTGCATGTACGTGTGCATGTGTATGTGTATGTATATACGTACATGTACATGTACAAGTACATGCACATGTACGTGTATGCCTATGTGACTAGCCTATGTGTGTACAAGCGTATGTATGTATGTGCGTATGTATGCGACAGCATGTGATTATGGGTGTATGCCTGTGCGTGTATGTGTATATGCGTATGTATGTTGGTGCGTATGCATGCATGTCTGTATGTATGTGTGCACGTGAGTATGTAAGTACATACGTAGGTACGTGCGTACGTACGTATGTATGCATGTGTGTGAATGTGCATGTGCATGTAAGGATGCATGTGCGTATGTATGCATGTGTGCATGTGTGGTTGCATATATATATATATATAAGTATGTATATGTATGTAGATGCATGCATTAATGTATACATGTACGTGTGCATGTATGAACGCATGGTCGTGTGTATATGTATGTGTGCATGCATGTACGTACGCATGCATGTATGTATGTGTATGTAGTTGCTTTACGTATGTATGTCCGTATGTATGCATGTATGGTTGCATGCATACATGCATGCATGCATGTGTGTATGCATGTGTGCATGCATGCATGCATGCATGCATGCATGCTGGCGGGCAGACGTGCATGTATGTATGCATGCATGTATGGATGGATGTGTGCACGTATGTATGTTTGTATGTATGTACGTATGTATATGTGACTGTTTGTATGTGTACATGGATATGTCCAGGCCGTAAATGCGGCACAAGGGTACGGCATGAACAGTCCTCAACATGCTCATTCGAAAAACAATCCACCCCACAAACAATTGATCTGCTCCCCTCCTCTACTTACCGCTACTCCTCCTGCCCACGCCATCTCACCTCTCCCCCAGTCCCAAGATAGCGCTGTTCCTTATCTGACCCGTTCACCTTCTCGTAACTGCAAGGGTGGGATTCTGAAGCTGAGTAGGTGTGGGGCCTTCATGTCTCGAATGGAGAGCATTCGCAGGCGACAAAATGTCAGACACTCGTTTCCAGCACATGGGCGTATTCCCATTGAGCCAGCTATCGGCTGCGCATTTGAATCGCGCGCGGCGAGGTGGATGGGAGACTCGCGAAACTTGTCTCTCTGCGCAGAGAAACATGTGAACACTCTCGCGTGTGGCCGCTGCTGACGCACACTTGGCTCCGCTCTGGACAGTATCCGACTGCTCTGCTGTTACCATGCGACCGTGTGTTTGTACGTATCTGGCTGCGGGCCAGGTCGTGTTGAAACGCCAGACCACTGCCGCAAGGTAAGGGGGGTAGCAATGCGGTCCACTGCGACGCGCACTGCCATGCCCGCGGCGCCTTGCACTGGACCGCTGCCAACACACACACACAAACATTCGCCCAACATGCCCAGTGAACCAGGAACGCACGCAATCACGTTCGCACGCGCTTTAAGGGGAGAGTGCATGTTAGACCATGTTCCCCGCCAGTGGGCAAATGGCACGGTGACAAGAAATGAGGGCAGCATGAAGATGAGGCGGATGATGATTGGGAATGAAACGTGGGTTGCGGTCAGGCAGGCCATAGAGCCTGCTCACTCCGCATCATTAAATAACACGTCCACGAGGAGTATCGCAACGAGGACAAACGCCAGCAGCCCGGAGAGCACCTGAGGCAACAGGCGATTCACCTTCGGCTGGTGACCCTTGCCGCTGGCCTCCCGGAGCCGAAGCGCGGCCCTGCGGAAGTCCACCACCGGCCAGAAGGCAAACGTCAGCGCCACGAGGGCGACCAGGAAGCCGTTGAGCTGCGAGATCTGGTCGTCGGAGCTCAGCAGCAGCTGACTCAGCCCCGAGAGCAGCGCGGCGGAGCGCATCCAGGCCAGCGCCGTCCTCTCGATCGCCAGCGGCACCTTGGGGTCCACACGCAGCTCCACAGGCGCCCTGCGCGCGCAAAGCCGGCGTGCCCCCTGGGCGGCGGCCGCGGCCGCGGTGCGGCACCAGCCTGGCGGCCGCGGAGGCGACGCGGACGCCGCCGCCGGCGCAGCAGCGGGCGCCGCCTGCGAACCCGCGGAGGGCCCGGGCGCCAGCGCCCGCGAGCCCGCAGCGGCTGCGGCCGGGCGCTCGCTGGGCGTGCCCGCGGGCGTGCTGGGAGAGCCCTCGCTGCACGACCCGGGCACGCCCTCGTGGAGCCAGGCGGGCCGCACCGGCGCCAGCTCCCCGCGCAGCAGCGCAGTGCCGTGCAGGGCCTTCGAGAAGCCGTGCGCCCGGCGCAGCTTCAGGGCGCGCAGCTCCTCGGGCCACTCCAGCTCCTCGTCGTGCGGGCCGCCCGTCGCCGCGCTGGGGCCAGGGCCCCGTGGCCCACTGCGGCCCCTGCACACGCGCAGCACGGCCTGCTCGCAGGCGATGCGCCTGTCCGGCAGCGGCCGCGTGCCCCCCGGGAGCGACTGGCACCAGGCGGCGGAGTCGCTCCCCTCCGGCTCGTCATAGAATACGAGGTCCTCGTCGACTGTGGTCCAAGCCACGACTTCGCTGCCGGGGTCACCGAATGCGGCGAAGGTGGACCTGCGGAATGTGGCACGCACAGAGGGCCGCAGGCTGCGCTCTCGTATGGCTGCCTGCACCCGGTGCAGCGGCTCAGACTCGCTTCTGCCCTGCAGGCTGCCAGTAGCGAAAGCGGCGAGGTCACGCTGCTTCAGGGGTACCGCGGTGGTGCCTCCAGATGCGCCCTGGACGTCAACGAAGAAGTCCACTTCTGTGCCGCCTGTGGCGTCGCCGACCCAGCGGCAGCAGAACGCCGCGGGGACACGCGATGGCTCAGCCGTGCTGGTCCCCACCGGCAAGCGTTCCCCACACAGCTCGCCGCCGGGCCCATCGAAGTAGACCTCCCCGGTGCTCTGCCGGATGCTTCCCTGGCCCAGGCCACCCCTGCCATCGGACGCAACGCGCACGTGACGCGCGCGGCCGACAACAGAGGATGACGGCGGCGGGCTGTGGCCCTGGCTGGGTGCGTCAACCTGCAGGTGCTTCAGCAGGCTCACCTCTCGGGGGGCCACAGTTGGAAGCGGCGGGGGGGTCTGAACTGGATGGGGCCACAGAAAATCGAACAGGGGTGGCGAAGCCAAATCCGGTCAAAATCGGTCCCTGGACCCCTCCCAGGGCCCACCTGGTTATGTTTTTCACCCCAGATCTGTTTCTGACGGGTGCAGGGCCCGAAGTTTAACCCCCATGCAGAAGCAAAAAAATTAAAAAACAAGAACTCCTCGAACGCAGAATCTCGAACCTCTTCCCAAACCTTCCTGCTCGCCCGTACCAGTGCTGGGCAACCTCAGCTCCCCAGCGGGCTCCAATGCCACAGAACGTACATCAACTCGCCCGTTCCATCTGGGTAAAGCGCGTGCCCTGCGCGGTACGTTCGCGCAGAACTTGCTCTTCGCGTGCGTGCGGGAATGCGCGTTCGACGTCGGCGGCGTTCGGGGGGGGGGGGGGCAGTGGCAGGGTGAGCGAGGGTTTCCCTCGCAGCTACGAGGCCCCAGCTCTGTCCTAAACTGGCGCTCCGACCACGCCATCCTTCGCTGGCAACCCATGGGAATCTACCAAGCCATCTTGGTGGATCTTGCGAATAACGCTAATCGGCGCTTGATCGACGCGAAGTCGGCGCTTTTTCATCGATCGCCAGACGCTAATGGAATGGAGGGCACTCTGAAGACGGAATTTCTAGGGTGTTCACGGGTTCCGACGAATGGCTACCCGAGCCGATTGCAGTACAGTCTACTACTCCAGGTCAGAAGGTTGCTCTCGCCTGAGAACTAGCCACGTCGCCAGCACGAAGCGGGGCTCTCGCTCGTAGCGCTGCCTCCAGGCGGCCCCAAGATGGCTATACCGAGCTTGTTTGCGAGAGCTCGGTGGAACCGTCCACCATGCACTCCGATGCTGCGCTGGAGCGCTTTTGCAGTCAACGTCTTTGGGCTCCCAGGGCTCTGCTGGGTGCCTGCTCTGGGAAGAAGCCTCCTGGGAACCTCTCGAGGTTTGCGAAGCCCTGCTGAAAATAGACTGGGGCCCCTGTGGGGTCCACGGGCCGTCTTCGGCCGGTCCCTGCAACCGCCCCGGGGCCACCTGGGCCGCCGCGAGGAGCATCTTGGGGCCATGAGAAGCGCAGGGGAGCAGCAGGGCAGGACGGCGGTGTTCTACGTGTGGGTCCGAAGAGGGGGAAGGGTCGTCCCTGGCACTTTTTTACAGGCGCGAGAAGGTCGCCCCGCGGCCAGGGAAAGAAGAGAGAGGCAGCAGGGGAGGGGAGAGCAAGAGGAGAAGCAGCATATCAGCAGCAGTGCCAGCGGGCCGACGCGGGGTCGCCCCTGGGATAAGAACCTTACCAGTATGCCCCAGACGTGCGGACGGTATGTGGCGGACGCATACGCCCGAGGAGCCGTACACATCTGTGTATATGTATACATATATATATATACATATACACACATACCTTATATATATGTGTATATATATGTATATATATATATATATATATATATATATATATGTATATACACAGGTGTGCAGATGGATGCGTAAATATGTGTATTTACATGTATGTATGTATCCAGAGATGCCTGTACTGTGTACCTCCGCCGCCTCGCCCCTGTGGCGCGGAGCGGGCGTGCCCTCAGGTCCTTTGCCTCCTCTCCTCCTCGGAGCCTCAGTGCTCAGTCCTGAGTGGTGTCTTGGTGTCCCTGGCCCCAAATTCTCAGATCTCTCTGGGCTTCCCGCGTGCTCCCTGGGCTCTGGGCCGTCCTCCCGCATGGCCCTTTCGGGCGCAAGAAGGCCCGAAGACGGGCCAAGAGGGCCCCGGGAGGCCCCCAACACAGTCCAAGAGGGTTTCGAGGCGCCTGCAGATCGCGCCAAGACGCCCAAGATGGCCCCCAGACGGCCCAAGAGGCCTCCGTGACGCCTGAAGAAGCCGCCAAGACGCCTCCCAAAAGGGCGCCAAGAGACCGAACGTACTGATTCTCCGTCGGTCTCTGAAGGTGTTTGGTCGTCTCGCCTTTTCGGCTTCGTGACGCTCCAAGACGGCCCTGGAGGCCTCCAAGACCGCACCAAGACGGCCTCCAAGAGAGCCCCAAGACGGCCCAGGGGCGCCAAAGGCCCCAAAGACAGCCCCTAAGAGGGAGCCAAGAGGGGGGACCCAAACGGACATTTCGAGCCCTCGGCCCCGAGGGGCCCCCAGGGAGCCCCAAGAGGCCCCCAAAAGGCCCTCCAAGAGACCCCCAAAAGCCCCCAAAAGGCCCCAAAGAGGCCCCCGGAGAGGCCCCGAAGAGGCCCCCGAGAGGCCCCAAGTCTGCCCCTGAGAGACGCCCGAGAGCACTCCGAAGAGACCCAGAGGAGCATCCCTGAGGACTCTGGTCAACAACCCGAGCAAGGTGGCGGGATGGGCCGAAGACCATGAGACACTCGTGACTACCTACCAGGCCACCCAAACCTAACCCGAAGACCCGAATTCTGGCTTGGGGGGGGGAAAGGGGTCCACACGTGTTTTTTCAATGTTCCCCGACGCCCCCTCTGGAAATGGAGGGCAAATCGGGGCCGTCGGGTTGGGTTGGGGCGGTTTGGTGGGCGGTGAACTCGGAAGTGGGGGTACAGATCATGACGAGCATCATCACGGTCACCGTGAGAACCAACTGCGCTACACTCACGGGGGGTGCAACCGTCATGCCACCAGAGGGAGCGCCGAATGACCAACGAAGGGGCCTTCTAGCCCGAGCGAGCCTCGGCAACGAACAATCTTGATCTAAAATCTAAAGGACGGCCAAGCAAGCAGAGCCCGTCCGGAGCCGAAAGTGGCACTAATATCACGGTCTTGACCCCAGACATGATCGCGTCGGTAAAAAAATTCAGGACGGGGGGGGTTTGGCTATTTTCAGCCCCGGGGGGCCCTCGCCAGGCCTCGGGGCCGTCAAAAAGCGGCTCGGGACGACAAACCGGTCTCGGGGAAAGGGTCGGGACTTCCAGGGACGCCGTCATGAAAAAAACAGGACGTCGCATGTCTGGGACTGTAAGGTCCTAACGAGAACGCAGGCGGAAATCTTTGTGCTGAGCTCATGGGGCTGGCTTTGCTACATTCTCCAGACGTCGGGCCTTCACCCGCATCAGCATGTCGGGGGGCACGAGGTAGGTCTCCACCTGGTCGGAGGAACACGACGACGACCACGACGGCGACGCGGAGCCCCAGGATACGGGCGACGGCAAGGGGCGGCACTGCGAAGCGGGGCCTGACCAGAGGGCATTCGTGCTCCCCGAGTCGTGCCCGCTGCTCTCGAGGCATAGGCATCATTTCACGGAGGTCCGCGAGGATTTCCTCCTCCTCCTCCTCCTCCTCCCTCCTCCTCCTCCTCCTCCTCCCCTCCTCCTCCTCTCCTCCTCCTCCTCCTCCTCCTCCTCCTCCTCCTGGATCGACCCTCCTCCTCTCCTCCTCCTCCTCCTCCTCCGCTCCTCCGCCTCCTCCGCCTCCTCCTCCTCCTCCTCCTCCTCCTCAGTCCTCCTTCTCCTCCTCCTCCTCCTCCTCCTCCTCCTCCTCCTCCTCCTCCTCCTCCTCCTGGATCGACCCTCCCCCTCCCCGGCGCGCGGAGGCGCGCCACGGGGGAGGCGCCGCGCGCGCCGCCAGGAGGACCAGGCACCGATCCGAGACATCTGCGCGGACCCCGACGACACGATGCGTGCTGATGCCGCTGCTTATTTTTTTCTCCGAGGGGAGGAGGAGGAGGAGGAGGAGGAGGAGGAGGAGGAGGAGGAGGAGGAGGAGGGAGGAGGGAGGAGGAGGAGGAGGAGGAGGAGGAGGAGGAGGAGGAGGAGGAGGAGTAGGAGGAGCAGGAGGAGGAGGAGGAGGAGCAGGAGGAGGAGGAGGAGAAGGAGAGCAGGAGGAGGGGGAGGAGGAGGAAGAGGAGGAGGAGGGGGAGGAGGAGGAGGAGGAGGAGAAGGAGGAGGAGGAGGTGGAGGAGGGAGGAGGGAGGAGGAGGAGGAGGAGGAGGAGGAGGAGGAGGAGGAGGAGGAGGAGGAGGAGGAGGACCAGTGCAAACCTGAGACTCACCAGCGATGTCGCAATAAACCCACCATCCAAGTTTCCTGCGCATGGGCTCTACAATGCTGTGTTTTCATTGCGGCAGGGTGCCCCGTTGAAAGACAACCGACTGAGAATCCTCAACTGTGCCAAAACACACAAATCCTGGTATGTAAACGCCGCGAATCACGTGACGATTCTGCCCCGACAATCCTAAACCGTGCCCGAACACCATTCCCAGGATGCCAGGACCGCGAACTGGGGTGACTGTTGCGCCTTAGCGGTCCCACACATCGTGAGAACATGACTCGTGGAACGTCAAGCATCAAATTCCTCGAAGCCGTTACACACGTTCAAGACGAATGCGCGCGGCGACAGGGCGAGAGCCGCATCTTGAAACGCAAACGGCCTCCATCCTGGGAAGCGTCTACAAACTGTACAACGAATGTGCGAGGCGCTGCGAGGAGGGCCGCATGTTGAAACGACCTGTGAAGCTGCTGCCATGTGTTAGACCAGTGTTGAAACGGACACGCCCTGCACCATTGAAATTGTTGCAAGCTTGTCTGACACAAATGTGCGAGGCACCAAAGCGAGAATCGCATTTCGCATTTTGAACAGGGACCGCCCTCCATCCGTGAAGCTGCTGCAAGCTCTTAAACGAATGCGCGCGGCACTAGGGCGGGAACCACATTTTGAAAACAACCCACCATCCATCTTTGAAGCTGGTGCGAACTCGCAAACTGAGTATCACAATTGGTGAGGAAGCCTCGAGCGAAACGCCAGGCCCGCCCTGCCAACACGTCTGGAGGTGCGACAGGGAGGGGTTACTTACCAGAGTGAGGGGGCCGAACGCTCATCCACTGTCCTTCTGTGCGTGGCCGAAATGGAATCCAACGGCGCGGATTATGTTTGCTGTTTGTTGTCGTCGTCCCACACGCGACCCGCCCCGCGACCCACCCGCGATCCACCCCGCGACCCACCCGCGACCCACTGGCGACCCACCCGCGACGCAGCCCGCGACGCAGCCCGCGACCCACCCTGCGCCCGCAGCCTCACTGTTGTCCAACAGAGCGGGGTACCACGTACGGGCCCGCGACTGCGGGGTGCTACTGCCGTGCGCAACTGCGGGGCGCAACTGCGCAACACACAATCTCGGGGGCTTTGGCCGGCCCTCCCCCTCGATGGTTCGAGGCTCTGACATGCTTCCGCTGACCCTCGGCGGCGTTCTGGCCTCGGGATGCCCTCCGGTGCCTGCGCCCGCTCTGGGGGTACCCGGACCGTCCCGAACGGCCCCCGGTGAGCCGAGCCAGACGGCCCGACAGCCGAGGAGGGGGAGAAGGAGGAGCGCCGCAGGCCAGCGACGGGCGGACAGCGGAGGGGCAAGACGCAGGGTAACGAAGAGTGACATGGACTTACACATGCGGAGGTCCGCGCGGCTTTCTCGGATCGGCGCTGCACCCCCCTCCTCTGGCGCGCGGAGCGCGCCAGGGGCGGCGCCGGAGGCGCCGCCAAGGGGGTCCAGCGCCGATCCGAGAAATCCGCGCGGACCTCCGAGTTTATGTGCTTATGTCATTCTTCGTCCCCCTGAGGCGATCTGGGATGACACATGAACACAAAAACTCGGAGGGCCGCACGGATTTCTCGAATGGCGCCGGGGCCCCCGGGCGCCGCCGGGGAGCGGGCCCTGAGGCGCCGACCCGAGAAGCCCGCGCGGGTGCCTCCGAAGGCTCATGCTTATGTCGTCGTTCTCGCTCCCCGAGCGTACGAGAGAGGGATGGAGGAGGGGATCGACCACACGCAAGGTGGGGCGACGAACGCTGTACAAATCCACTGCTTCCTGGCCAGGCCCATCCTGAACCCAGCAGAAGTGTGTATGCCACGCCCTCCTGGCTTGGCCAGGAGGGCGTATGCAGAGCTGCTGGCCTCAGGATGGGCCTGGCCAGGGAGCAGTGGATATGTATAGACTTCGTCCCCGGACTAGAGTGACCCTGGGCCCTGGGTAAGAGTGACCTTTGGTACGCGGCTTGTTTGGGGGCGCGGGGTGGCCAAGCCCAAGCGAGCACGACGCCCACTGTCGCGCCGCACTCGGCGATCGGAGCGACCCAAATGGGGCGCGCACCAGAGGTCGCTCTGGCGACGGGTCACTCTTACGGGTAGTCGAGAGGAGCAGGTAGAAGAAGAAGCAACGCCATAAACATGAACTTTTGACGCTCCGCGCGGACTTGGATCTGCGCTGGGCCCCCTTCCTGGCGCGCGGAACGCGCCAGGGGCGGCGCCGGAGGCGCCGCTGGGGAGTTCCCTGCGCGGATCCAAGAAGTGTCCGCGCGAGGCGCCAAAAGTTTATGTGTACGGCGTGTTTTTTTGTTGTTTAAACAACAATTCGAGAGAAGCAGAGTCTTTGTTACGTGTCCTGGACAGGGACGCAAGCGAAAGAGACTTCTGAGACCGCGGCGTTGCCTCTGAGCCTTCGGGCGGGAGAAGTGCGAGCGACAGCGCCGAGCGGCGACCCTGGCGAGCGACAGCGCCGAGCGGCGACCCTGCGGGCGAGGCCGAGCGGCCTTGAGGGATCGGCACCGCCCGCCTCAAAAGTCCCTTTCCCTGTGGCCCCTTTTTCCGGGATGGACAGACCTCCCTCCAGTAAAACGTGGATTCGTGAAAACGACTTCGGGCCCAAACCTGGCGGGCGCAAACCTGGAAAATAACGGCCACGGCGCCCTCTCGAGAACCGACAACGGACAATTCACTAATCGACGTGTCACTGTTGGGGGCTCTGTCCACCCCCGACCCATTTGGAACCGCAGGAGTCTCCGCCTCGTCGCCGTCGCCCTCCCGGCGCAGCTGCTCCGGCGAGGGGCCTGCCGGAGAGCCCCCGGCCCCCAGCGGCCGCAGCTGCTGTCGGCGGCGCTCGTGCAGCTGCCCCAGGGCCAGCAGCAGCAGGTCAATGTCCCACTGCCGGAAGGTGGCGACCTCTTCGGTGGCAAGTCGCGGGGGCCTCCCGGTAACATGTCGGGCCCCCTTGCGCCGCGGAAAACAAAAATTTACGACGTGTTTGTTGTTCATCTATTTTGGGCCTCTGGGTCCCTGACTGGGCCGCGCGGGACGTTTAGAACACGACTCAGGACGGAAAGCCGATCCTGGGGAGGGGTCCCCGTGTTTGGGGGTCCACTTTGTGAAAAAGTCACGACGTCGGGGGTCCAGGTCTTTAGGGGAACAGGCAACAGCATAAACATGAAAACTCGGAGGTCCGCGCGGATTTCTTGGATCGGTGCTGGAGCTCCCTGGCGGCGCCTCCGGCGCCGCCCCATGGCGCTCTACCGCCGATCCGAGAAATCCGCGCGGACTGCATTGATGTTTATGTCATTGCTTGTTCCCCGAATCTCGTTGGCTCTTGCGGATCGACTCTGATGGGCGCTGAGTCGACCCTAGGTCGACCCTACATCGACGCTACATCGACGCTGAATCGGCGCTTTCCCACCGATCGCAAGGCGCTAGTCGACGCTATTGCGCTCTAAAGACAGACGATGCGAGGGCACACAACACCCCGTGATTCGCTGCGGGAGACCTCGACCCGCGGCATAAACCAAGCCGAGAAGTTGGTGCTGTCGGAAGAGCAAAGAGCAGAACCAACGCAGACTGTCGGAGCTCCGCGCGGTTTCCTCGGAGCGGCGCGGGATCCCCCTGGCGGCGCTGCCCGCGCGCGCCGGGGAGGGGGGCCCAGCGCCGATCCAAGAAGTCCGCGCGGAGCCCCGACGGTTTGCGTTCATGCCGCTGTTTGCTCCTCGAGCTGTGCTTCTTGTCGCACTTCTTGGTGATCTTCCTGAAGCCCGTGTGGTTGGTGACGACAAAGTCGTCCAGCAGCACGATGTCCTCCGCGAGCCTGTCCAGCGCCTCCGGATCCAGCGCCTCAGGGCCACTCGCCCGCAACCGGATCTTCAGCTCCCGGTTGAGCACCTCCCACTGCAGCTCCACGAAGTTGTTGATCTCGTGAGCGTTCTCTTCTTCGGCGCTTCGACTTTGAGCGAAGGGCGGAGGGGGGGGGGGGGTCTGGCTCCAGACATCCCTCTGGTTCGTGCGACTGTTTGGAACGGTGCTCCCATGCGGAATCCTGTGGGGAGGCGGGGCCCCCCGTGCCTACTCTACCTGCTTGGAAGCAGGCGCCAGAAACCACCGAGATCTACTCCAGGGGAGGGGGAAGGGGGGGCGAGGGCCCGCGCGGATCGGCAAAACAAGGAATCAGGAAACTGCCGCCTTGTCGAGCTGGTGCTTCAGGAGCTGCCCGAACTGGTCCTGGCCGGGGTCCAGGGCGGCGGGCGAGGCACCCTGCGGGCCGGCATCGGCGTGCCGGATCGTCTTGATGACGCGCTTCAGGTCCCGGTAGTTCAGGTACTTCTCCTGCGCAGACGGTGCCCCTGAAGTAGGAAGGCGGATAAAGTAGGTTGGGATGGGCCCTCCCAAACAGTAACAAAACGCAGCCGAAGCACCTCGATTCTTGAAGTAGGAAGGCGCTTGGAATTGATTGGGATCTGGGAGTCCAGAAATACCTACTTTCAACGACCGGCGTGTACAATCGGCCCGCATCATAAGGATGTGCGATGAGGATGCGAGGGCCTCGGACGCACATTCCGAAGCTTTTCGAGCGGGGGGCGGCCAGCGAAAGCGGCCACGGATGGACCGAAGAGGCAGGGATGCAAGGATACCCTTGGGAAGGTTGCCCATCCTTACTGTGCGGTTTGACTGCATTGTGGGGAAAGCAGGCGACCACAGCCAGGATGGGCACCCTGGGAAATGTCCTGCGCATGCCACAAAATTCGGAACACCAAGGCCAGCTCGGTCCCCGCTGCGGTCGATGTGGCATCACAGGACGGCCGAACCGACCAGAAGCACAACCAATGCGCTCATGTCGAGATCGGCGGGTTCTCCCCCAAAGGGCCCTCCCGAAGCATTTACTCAGCTATGGTTGTGATTTTTTGTGGCGCCCGTGCCTGCACACACACCACACGAACGACGAAGAGATACAGATATTACGCCAAATGACTAGCGACCTTACGCCGCGGCTCACGCGGGCCGTCAGCCTTGCACGCTACATCGGAGACGAAGGCGCTGGGCGCTTCCGCGCGACCTTACTCGAGAAGCTTACAGAAATTGTGCTGCAAGAGGGGGCGCACAATAAGGCATGACTGAGCTTCTCTGGTCACGGCGGGCCTGGGCCGCGGCGGGCCTGGGCCAGAAACGACCCAACGCGGTCCTTTTTTCAGCGTCTTGCGTGTACGCGCGGCCGTCGTTGGAGACTTGGAAATGAGCACCAACACCTACACAAGGGGCTGCCCCCACCGGGGCAAGATGGTCCTAGCTTCTGGTCTTGGCGATGATCCTTCGGACGCCCAGGGGGCCCAAACATTACCACCGTCACCGAGATGGGGATCCATCTTCCCTCGGTGAAAGCACACAGCCCATGCTGGTGCTGGTGTCAACCTCTAGACTTAAGTCGGGCGTGTCCCCCTACAGGGGGATTTTCGACCAAAAATAGAAAATACCCCCAAAATGATGAAAACAAATTATCCAAAAATAGTCCGGTGACTCTGTTTTGAACATTTTTTGACCGTCTTGGGGCATGTCTGGGGTATTTTTTCTTTTTCGTTGAAAATCCCCTTGTAGGGGGACAGGCCCGACTTAACTCTAGGCCTCCGAGGTCCGCGCAGTCGAGCCCTGTTCTCTCCGCCGCCCGCACGTCCGACGAGGGCCGCCCCGGGGGCCCCGGCCACGGCGCGTGCACGCCCCGCCGGGCGAGGCCGAGGCGCGGCTGAGCCCTGCACCGCCCGAGAAGGGCCCGGGGAGGCCCTCCTGGCTCCCCCTCTCCCCCCCGCCCCCCACGTCACGACGTTGGTTGCACTTTGGACGCCCGAAACGGGTACTGAAAGAATGGGTACAATGCCCAACAGCAAGTGTTGTCCCAGACCAACAGCGGCCGCTGTTGGGCAGGCGGCCTTCTGTCTCAAATGGACACAGGCCGCGGCGACACCGACAGCGAGTCCTGTTCAAAACGAACAGGAAATGCTGTTGGGCATTGTACCCGTTCTTTCCGTACCCGTTCTGGGCGTCCAGATGCACCGTCAGCACCCAGGTCGGGCATGGCTTACCAGGGGGCGATGACTGATGCATGGGTCTGACTGGCCCAACAGGGGGTCCAGCTACAAGGGGATGGTGCAATAGATCTGGTGCACAGTAGGTTTGTGAGCTGCATGAGATTCGGGGCGTGCGGTACATTCCGGGGCGCAAGTGTACTGCTGGATTTCCGCGTGCAACGCAGCGATTGCAAAACAATGCAACGCAATTCTCTTGCGCAGTACATTTGCAATACAATTGCCCCACACTTGTTGCACCATCCCCTTTCAACTGGACCCCCTTGGGGGCCAACCAGATTGGGTGGCGAAAAACACGAGCACCTGTCGTACTCGTTTGGGGCACCCGTCGCTCTCGTTCGGGGCGCCAGGGGGTTCCTTCCAGGCCCCTTGAAGTGCCCACGAAGCGCACGCTTCTTCACCCACCCCATGTGTCGCCGCCTTACTACGCGACGCCCGACCAAACATCTCGACTCATTCCCTGGGACCGGCATTCTGTCCCGAGTCGATGCTTGACGGTCACAGGCCCAGCGAGGGCCCCCAACGTGGGCCGTACCTGGAACAACAATACAGCTCGCCGCGGCTTTTGCCACGACGCGACGGGGTCTGGGCTGGGCATGCTCGTGGCGTTCATGTAGATCCCCATCTGCGGGTGTCCCTGTATCGGTGCGGCGCCGAACGCGTGCGCTGCTCGATCTGCTTCCCGAACTTCATGGCCGCGGCCCCGCCGCGGCCCGCGGGATGCACACCAGGGCTGCCGCCGGCCACGCGCAAAGAGTGGCCCTGGGCAGGGAAGGACCTCCGGCGTGCGGCTCGCCGATCGCTGCGCGCGGGGCGGCGCCTGCGGCCTGCGTGCCTCGATCCGAATGGGGTGACCTGCGCCCCACGGGAGCCGTGCGCACCAGAGGTCACCGCGGCGCAGGGCCACCCGTGCGCGTCGCCGATGCCAGCGGCCGCCGCGCCCGCAGCCCCTCCGAAGACGTGGGCGGCCACCGGGCACGGCCGAGCGCCTGCCGCAAGAGGGGGCGGTCGCGCGTTGCGCGGCCGCGGCGAGGCGCGCGGCGACGGGCTCGGAGCGAGGACGGGGCAGCTGCAACCGCCGTCTGCGAAAGGCTGGGGACGCTTGCGGACGGTATCGGAATCGGCGCTTCTTCTTCGCCTGGGGGCCTGCGTTTTCCTGTCCATGCTGGGGTTCCCGTTCCCGCCCTGACGGGCATCCCATACTCCTGTCACGGGTCGGAGAGGATTTCTGTCCATGAGAATCTGGATGTGAGAGTGACTCCGCGTAGACGACAGGGGCGACAATGAGGACTACGACGGCGACGACTTCAGTGACGCCCTCCTCCTCCTCTTCTTCCTCCTCCACGTCCTTCTCCTCCTCCTCCTCAGGAAATCTTTCAGGGAAGACGAGGGAGGCACAAACGGAAGAGCGAGGGGAAGTTCCTCTACGGAAGAGCGAGGGGAAGTTCCTCTTGCAGTTTTCCCCGCAACAGCTCAAGCAAACGCGCATGGCCTTGATACGCACGCCTTCTGGCGTGCTACTCGCGTCGCCTTCTGACCTTTGATGGCCCAAGTGCCGCGCCGGCTATTTCGTGGCAACCATTGGCGTGTGAGCCCTAGTGCGAGTGAACCTGAGCGTGGGTGATCGGGCGAGGAGCGGATTGCGAATGGATCCGGGTATGGTCGAGCCTGGGTGTGGGTCAGCCTGGATATCACCAGTGTGAGTACGAGTGGCTCTAAGTATGAGCGAATTTTAGCGCGAGCGAGTCTTAGTGCGAATCGGTCAGAGTGCTGCTGACTGTGAGTGTGGGTGAATTCTGAATTTGAGTGTAATGAATACAGTTCTGAATGTGAATGAGCCTGTGTGCGAAGTAACACGAATACGAGAGAGTCTGAAGGCCGGTGGGTCTGTGTGCGAGTGGGTATGATGCGCTCAAGGGGTGGCGCGCGGGCTTTGCAGCTTTTGCTGAAGGACCCTCTGTAGATGCGCTCAAGGGGTGGCGGATTTGGTGCTTTTACAGAAGGACCCTCTGTAGATTCGCCCAAGGGGTGGCGGCTGTGCTGCTTTTGAAGAAGGACCCTCTGTAGGTGCGTTCAACGGGTCGCGCGTGGAATCTGCAGCTTTTTCAGAAAGGCCCTCTGTACATGCGTTTCAAGGGTGCTTGCTTTCCTGCTTTTACAGAGAGACCCTGTGTAGATGCGCCCTAGGGATGGCGGATGTCTTCACAAGACAAAACCCTGTATATGCGCTGAAGGGATGGCGGCATTCTTGCCTTAACAGACGGACCCTCTGCACACGCGCTCAAAAACGTAGCGCACGTGCTGCTTTTACAGAGAGACACTCTGAAGAATTGCGGGCACAACGTTTTCATCATTTCAACCGCCATCTCCATCACCATCACAAAGACGGAAAGAGGGAGGAGGAAAATGCGCCGGAGGAAGGAAGGAGGCGGAGCACAAGAGTGGAATGACAGGAAGCGCAGGGGGGAGGAGGAGATGCACGGGGGAGGAAGCAGGAGGAAACTAATGCAGTACAATGGCACTGTGCTCTCTTCGCTTTTTCTCCTGGCTTTTTTTCCAATTTCCGCGGTTTCACTTTGACACTTTCTCAGCCAGGCGATCGCGCATTCCTATTCCACGCGACATCTACGAGCTCGCCCGAACTCTGCCCGCCACAATCACCGAAACGACGTTCACACTACTCGGTGTCGCTACGACCGACTTCGGCGTCGCGACGGCTGTCTGATATGATTGCGCGTTGGGGCCACCCGACGGCATGTCTCCGCGTGTCCGGGGGTAAGTTCTGGAGAGGTGGCAACCGACGCTGGCCACTCCAGACCGCCAGGGCGAGCCCCCCAGCCGGTGTGAGCGGCCATCATCATCATCATCATCATCATCATCCTCATCACCACAACCACCAGTTTCGTCATCATCATCACCATCATCACCACCAGCGCCTCGCTCGATAAATTCTAAAATGTGACTTCGCCTGATCACCATCATCACCAACAACATCGTCATCATCATCGTCATCATTACCCATGTTGCCAACGTCGCCATCAGCATCACAGTCGTCACTACCACATCATAAACGAAGTCGCGACCTTGAATGCTACTCTGAGCGAGGAAGAGGAGGAGGAGGTGAGTGTGGAAGGAGTCGGTGTGGAAGGTCATTCACTGCGTGGGGCTCCCCATCTGCGCATCTACTTGTTTGAACATGTCCGCCGTGAGTGTCTAGACGCAAGGGTTTTCGTACATAAGCGGGCTTGAGGAAGAAACGGGTTTTCGTATGTTTGGGTGTGAGTGTCAGTTTTTCTAAATATGGGAAAGTCTGGGTACGAGTGGGTCTGAGGATGCTTATGCAGAGTATGAATGTGTCTGAACAAGAGGGGTCTGAGTTTGGGTAAGTCTGGGCGCGGGTGGACCACGAGTGAGTGTGGAATGGGGGTGAATATAAGTACGCGTGAGTCTGACTGTGCGCAAGTCTGGGGGTGAGCGAGTGTACGGGCGAGTCTGATCACGAATGCGTGTGAGCATAAGTGAATCGGGGACACCCTCCCAATCTGGGCCCACTGGGGGTGCGAGAACCGACGCATCGCCCGAATCATCCCCAGAATTTGCTCCGAACGCCGACGAATCTGGACACCAAAACAGACAAACCGTCCGAGCCATCCTCGCAAACTGGGTCCCCTGTGGGTTGTGAAAGCCAGCGGCTCGCCCGAAACATCCTCAGACGTTGCTCCGAACAACGGAAAACATCGGGAACCAAAACAAGCACACCAACGAACACACCCCCTCAACCTGATCGCGCACGGAAGAGTGGGATACTCCATGGCGCCCCTTTTGGGCGTGCGAACAGCAGCGCCTCGCCCGAGGCATCCTCAAAATCGGCTCCGAAGGCGGAGGGCGTTGGGAACCAAAACGGGCAAGCCGCTAGAAGTTTCCCCGCAATCTGGTCGCAAACGGAAGAAGGAGATACCCCTGGCGGCACACCCTTGGGAGTGCTGAAACCAGCGCCTCGCCCGAAACATCCTCAGAATCTGCACTGCCACCATCATCACCCTCATCATGTTCATCGTCATCATCACCGTCATCATCATCAGCAGCAGCAGCAGCACCACCATTCGCATCATCATCACCACCGTCGTCATAGCCATCAACATCATCATCACCATCATCATTAATATCAACATTTCCATCGTCACAACATCCACCATCATCTCCATTGTAGCACCACCATCCGCATCATCATAGCATAGCCTAATTTAGTCGTGGTCCTGAGTGTGCCTCTGGGTGACGAAAGAGACGGCGAGGTGGGTAAGGAACCCGCGCGGCCGGAGTACCTATTCACTGGGCGGGGCTTCCCATATGTGCATCTCATACTCCTGTCGCTGCCCGCTGAAGAACTCTGCCTGCGAGCATCTGGGTGTGAGAGCGAGCCGGCGTGGACGGCGGGCGCGAAAACGACGACGGCGCCAGCGACGACTTTACACTGATTCCAACGGGCATCTTCCAAGGGAGACGAGGAAAACACAGGTGGAAGAGCGAGGGGGCATTGGACCACCAATGGGGAGAATACTGAATGCAGCAACATCATCATAACCATCATCAGCAGCTGTTTAATCATCATCCTAACCAACATCATCATCAGCCTCATCATCATCAGCATCATCATCGTCACCGTCATCGCCATCATCATCACCATCATCCCATCTTTCTTTAGTGAGGAAGAGAGGGAGGAATGATGTTTGGGTGGGAGGATATGGCAGGCTCGGAGAATGTTTCACTGCGTGGGGCTCCCCATATGAGTATACGTCAGCATGGACCTGTCCGCCGTGAGTGTCTAAGCGCAAGATTGTTCGAACAGAAACGGGCTTGAGTATTGACTGTCTGGAAGTGACTCGAACTGTGAATGAATTAGAATGTGAATGAGTCTCAGTAGTATTAGTGCGTCTCTGCGCATGAGCCTGGGGCCTTCTGGGGCCTCTTGGAACCTCCTGGGGCTTCCTGGAGCCTCTCGAGGCCTCATGGGGCCTCCTGGGGCCTCGCGTGGCCTTCTGGGGCCTCCTGGGAAAGATTCGTGCCCAAGGAGAGGCCTAATCACTTCGCATTGGATCCACTGGAGAGGGGCAATCTATAGGAACACGCGTAAAACACCAAGGACTCGTGCCCCAAGTGAGGCCCAAAATATAGGAACATATGTAAAACACTTAGGAGTGGATTCGCAAGAGAAGGACAATATATGGACACATATGTAAAACACCAAGGATTCGCGCTCCAGGGGAGAACATGAGTAAAAACACCAGGGATTGGAGCCACTCCTGTGGCCGTCTGAAGCCTCCTGCACCTCGGGCCTCGTGGGGGCTCCTAGGGCCTTGCGGGGCCTCCTGGGGCCTCCTGCCACTTCCTGTGGCCTTTTGTGGCCTCCTGTGGCCTCCTGGTGCGTCCTGGGGCCTCCTGGAGACTCCTGGGGCCGGCCTGTGGCATCCTGTGGCCTCCTGATGCCTCCTGGGACCTCCTGTGGCCTCCTGGGGCCGCCTGGAGCCTGCTGGAGCTTCCTGTGGCATCCTGAGGAAGACCCTAAGCAAACCGCTCGAGACATCCTCGCAATCTGGGCCACCAGGGGTGCGAGAAGCAGCGACTCGCTCGAGGCATCCTCCAAATCTGCTCCGAAAGCGGAGGATGTTGAGGACCCAAACCGGCAAACCGCTCGAGACATCCCCGCCATTGTGGCGCGAACGGAGAAGTGAGATACCCCACGGTGGCACCCCCTTAGGGGTGCTGAAACCCACGCCTCGCTCGAGATATCCTCAGAATGTGCTCCGCCATCATCACCACCATCACCATCACCATCACCATCACCATCACCATCACCATCACCATCACCATCACCATCACCATCACCATCACCATCACCATCATCATCATCATCATCATCATCAGCAGCATCATCATCATCATCATCATCATCAACATCATCATCAACATCATCATCGCCATCACCACCATGAGATAACCTAACATATCATGCCATAACATAACATGGTAAACAATTTCACAATCTAAGAT